CCCCCCCAGTTAAGATTTCCCAAGGTTTTGCCTGATTTTCAAAATTATTCCCCAGATCCCAAGGGGGTCGTGAATTCCCAAGATCTTGGGAAATTTTCCAGGGTGTGGTAGCCCTGGGCCGAAGGTCATGATTGAGGTTCTTGCCAAAAAGAGATTTCGAAATATTTTATCACAGCTCATTTTCTATTATTAATTCCAATTGTATAGATAGGCGCTATTAGTATTGGCTATCGACTTTAGCATATATACATTTTAAAATCGCCTTGATTTACCTAAGTATAAACAATGGTCAACAAAGTTAATAGGTAAACTAATTTGAATTAAAATTGTCACAGTATAAAGTAAAGTAACGGAATATATAATTTAGGCAACACCGCAAACGGAAATCATGCCAGTTTGAATAATATTAATATTAAGCATTATTCAAAACACCATTATAAGTTGTTTTTTTTTTAAAGAAAAAATAACAAGAGTATTTTTTGAAAAAGGTGTAAATAACTGAGTTAACTGACTTGGTAACATTTCTAATAAAATTTAGATGTCAAATATTCCTCAATAAAATGGTAGCAATTATAATTATGCAAAAGTTATTTGTTAAAGGTGTAGTTAACTTTATGTGAACTCCATAATCTAGTGAAAACTGTCACAGTTTAGCAGGCCATCTTTTGTAAAAAAAAAAAAACACAAAAACAAGACAAGGTAATGACAACTCGCTGATCAATTATAAGACCCAAACTTATTGTATATTAGGTAGGCACTGTTTAATAGTTAATTTATAATAGACTATACGCTTGGCTAGGCATCTGCTTGATATCTGCTGAGACTGAGAAACATACAATAAGTTGAAAACTTAGAATGAATAATGCGAGGAGCAGGGGAGTGCAGTCTGTATAATTATTAATTACTATACTATACTATAAACTATAATAACAATGATCCAATCAATAAGTACTGTCTGAAGACACTAAGTTGACCCACATTTTCGAACTTTACTGATTGTCTTTGATGAAGTTGTTAGTGAACTTTCCGAATTATGCAAGCTGCAACTATCTTGTCACTATTTGAAATCAACAGTTGACAGTTGTCTAAATTAAATGCAAGCAAGCCCTACACTTAACTTAAAGTTACTTACCCCTTAAACTTTAACCACTTTGCTACCCGTGACGTCAACGCGACATCACGGTCACCCACTTTCAATTACATTGTCACAGTGTCATAACAAAATGTTAAAGAACTTTTCTGAAATACCAAGGCAGGACGTCACATCGACGTCAAATTTCAATGTAGATACTTCGATGAAACAAGGGAGACTACTATTTTTTTTGTATCGGAAATGGCTGTCGGCGCCGAAAAATCCGAGTTTTTAATTTTCCGATGTGTGTGTCTATTTATTATTAAATTAGTTCTTTCCACATATATTTGAGTTCCGTTTCCGGCCTTATAATTTGGAAGACATCTTGGCCTACATTTCTAGCCAGCTATTTTGCTTTTTTCAATCGACCTTTATTTTGAAAATCTTTGGTATATATAAGGCATCTTCGCATACAAAATTTTTTGTGAAATAATAAGATAAGGTCCTTTTTGATTAAATCTGTATGAGCATTAGATATTGATCTATATCTGTGCCAAGTTTCATTGATGTAGGTCGTGTCTCAC